AGCGGAGACGGCCAAACGGAGCGTGGCAGATCACTCCTGGAAAGAGCTAGCGTTAGCGCTGTCTCTGTCCATTCATTATGCATAGGGAATGCTAAGCTATTTTTAGCCCAGGCGTCATCTAAAGAGGCTAGCTATCTGCTGCCCCGAAAAGCCACCTCAAGTCACTGCCGGAGCCATGAATGTTTAATGGCTTTGTTGAAACAAATCTACAGAAACAATGGCACAACAAAGAGGCGTCCCCTTCATCTGCTCTAATGTTATTCTCCCTAATGGTGCTTATGTAAGGCTGACATTTGCGTAACAGTGGGATGTTTTGCATGGAGTGTGTGTGTGTGTGCATGTGGATTAAATGCACACAATCGTTTCTGCTCATAGAGAATGTTTGTTTTTAGGTTGAATTTGATGACGCAGATTATTACCTCCTAATGAGGGAAAGTTGAAGAGGCGTTGTGTGTATGTGTTTTGTGTGTGCGTGTGCATGTGCAAAATGTATGTCTTTAAGTTTGTCTTTCTCTCTTTGGTGCCTGTATGTGTCTGTGTACGTTTGAGTACAATAAAAAGTGTTTGTGCAAATTAAGCCCCTTTTTGTCAGCACATGCGTGTTTGTATATACGTTTCACCTCGAGCTCTCCTTTCATTGTGCTCAGCTTCCGAGCAATGAGAAGAATGACAAACGAGGGGCATGTGACATTCTGAGGCAGAGGACATAAGAAGCTGCTGCACATGGGAATATACTGCCTTAGACACAGGGAGCATAGCAATTAACATGGAGAGAAGGTGCATGAAAAAAACAATGGAGGGTGGTGATTATGAAAAAAAAAACGGGATAAGAAGCAGTGGATTAAGGGGTATGGAATAAAGAGATGGAGAGAGAGAGAGAGAGAGAAGGACGGAGGGAGGAGAGGAAGCAAGAGGTGGGATCTGAGCCCTGCGATGATCTCTTTTTAACTGCTGAATGGGCATTTCTCTCCTATACACACATTCACACACACACACATAGATGCACATCCTGCCCTGTGACTTTTCTCTGTTAACCACAGAAAATGTCAATAAACAGTTTGCCCATCCAAGGCAGCAAAACAAACTGCCCTGGTGGGTTTCCTGCTGTCGGCCACATAGACTCACATGTGCACACACAGCTAGCGTTTTACAATATAGAGCAAGTCCCTGCCTCTCACTGATGTATCTCTTTGTTGTGTGTGTGTGTGTGTGTGTGTGTGTGTGTGTGTGTGTGTGTGTGTGTGTGTGTGTACAGTATGTGAGGCAGGTAAGCAGACCGGGCTAATGCTCCTCTGCTGAATGCGGCTCATTTGAATTGGCCAGCATAATGAACTTCCAGGATTTAGCCTGAGCCAAAAACCCAGCAGCTCACAGGCAGAACGTCCCCTCTCTCCAGTCACACGGGGGACTCTGGACGGAGTAAAGTGGGTCAACAGTCAGAAAGGCTCTGTGGCTGTGGAAAACAGAAAGATCTTTTCATGATCACTGTTTACCCACACTTGCGAGTAAAAAGAGTCAGGAAATAAAGGAGCAAAAGATAAAGTGGAATAAAATGTGATCTGCCTGGCTGCTCCCTAATTGCTCTATTTGGTTGCTGCATGTTTTGTCTTTTATCAGCCTGTGTTCCCGGTAAAAACGGTTGTACCTATTAGCCTACCTGCATGATGTGCTTTAGCAGCCGGACAATTCATCTGCCCCTCTCTTAATTTAGTGGATGCATTTGCCTCCGGCCTACTCATTACCGTGCACTTCCTCTTTTTGAACAGTTAGTCAGATTTGTGTTTCTGTGGCCAAAACTATTTGTTAAGGAGTCCTCGGCGCACATTTAAAAAAAACTTTGCACCTCCATAGCTGCTCAAGCAGACCTCACATGGCTCTGTATTTGTGTTTTCTCTGGCAAGCTCTAAATCTTATTTTTTATGTTTCTGAAGTCTACATGAAAATGAATTTCTTTGACATCGCTCTCCTCTGCTGTAGCAGAAAAAGAAAGCAATTTATCTCTGATCATACGTTTTTCTTTTAATTCTACCAGAGGCTGAGTGACTTTTGGAAGAGTAAAAGTTATTTTTCAGTGTGTGTGTGTGTGTGTGTGTGTGTGTGTGTGTGTGTGTGTGTTTGTTCAAAAACAGTAAACTCTAGTGATGAGTCATTTATGCACTTTATTCTGAAAACATGAATTCAATAAAGAACAGAAATCCAATCATTTTCTATCATGTCGCCGTTGGATTTAGTTAACCTGACAGTACTTGACTGTACTGCCAGGCCCAGGAGGCTATAAAGAGAGAAACTACATTGAATTACCAGCAGTACTTTCCTCTGCTTTACATTTTTCTGACATTATAGTCACATGTAATACAGTTGGCTGCTAGAAGATAGATAATGGCATTTCAGTTTCTTTCTTCAAAGGGAAATGTTAAAATCTTCATTACAAATACTATGTAGATGTGATGGGATGTGATTAATGTTAAACAATATACTCTCCCCAAGATGCTGCTTTCCTACACATGTGCATGTGCACAGATGGACAGAAATGCCCTCTCACTAGAGGAGCCTTGCACACACACACACACACATACACACACACACACACACTCAGCAGTTCAGGAAAACTATGGCTACAAAAACATGTATTCTTCTTCCATGCAAGGTGTGCTATATATTATTCATTTGAATTTGAATGAAGAAACTGTTTAATATTTATAGCAGGAAAGTGAACAAAGGAAATGCATGCATTTTTTTTCATGCACAGATTTAAACATTTGCGACAGCGAGGCAGTGTGTGAGCGTAGGACCTCTTACTCTTATTTTTTGCTTCTGACCACGTCCGTACTCACTCATGTATGCTTCCTTACATTTTTCCTATTTCATTGTTTCATATTCCATTGTTTCTATGCTAAGAGTACTGTGTTTATGGGATAGGCTACAGAAGACGCTGTATCACATTTACATTGTGAATGGTAGAGAAAGAGGTCAAATGTATTTATAAAGTACTTTAACAAAAGTATTTAATTGAATTGCTTTACATCTCAGCTCAAACAAAATGCAAATAATAGCAAGATAAAAGAGCAAGATAAAAAAAAACTATAAAGAAATGAGGCTGTATAGGAGGAGAGAACAACACTCTCTGCATACTTAAATATCAATTTACAATCTGCATGTATGTTTGCATATGGGAGTGTGTGTGTGTGTGTGTGTGTGTGTGTGTGTGTGTGTGTGTGTGTGTGTGTGTGTGTGTGTGTGTGTGTGTGTGTGTGTGTGTGTGTGTGTGTGTGTGTGTGTCTGTCTCTCCCAGGAGCATCTTTGCATCTGCAAACAGATGTTTTGTGTCTCTCCCGTGTCACAGAGGTCAGGCCCCTCCATCTTTCGCTCGTCTCCCACCCCTCTTCTCTCCTTTCACATGCAGCTGTTCTTCTGGGCCATGTGGGTGACACCTGCGTCCCAGTGGCGGCATGAATGAATCAGGTCACCTTACAAACTGGTCGCCATTACAGCTGGCGATGCAAGCGAGCTCACTGCACCCTACATGTTCCAAACACCCATCTATATAAAGTAAAACGGGAGAAAGATGGAAATTAGCTTACAAGAGGCAAAGCTATACATTCACTTAAAGCATGCATGTTGTTGCTGTGTGAATATATGTTCCCTTCTTACAAGTTTCTATGATTTATGCCTTTTAGGAATAGATGAATTACAAATTTCAAAGCCAAATAGTGGACAGGTAGAGTGTGACACATCCACTCATCTCTCGCATACTTCTTTTTTCTGTAATTCAAGAGGAGATGGTGAATGAAAGAGGGCAAGCATGATTCTCCAGCTTGACATAACAGTTCCTTTAAAAAAAAAAATCACCCCAAACATACATGTATGTGCATTTGTGTTCAAACTGCATCCTTTGATCAGTACGAGGAAGGCGGCATGCAAACAAAATCATTGTTATTCATTTTTCGCTAAGATGTCCACAGTACAACATGAAAGAGTGGTGAGTTGCACTGATAAAAGAAAAAGCAGAACTGTTTGTAAAGCCAGGATTCAAAGGCCAAATGCAGCATCATGACTCTGTGCGTATTTCAACAATCCCAACAATTGTGTTCAGGAGGCATTAGAAGGGGGATATGGACAGTTTGGTTGTGGCTTGTGAAGTGATTTGTGTGTGAACAAAAAGTATGCTAATGCACAAGAAGTGATGCAACCGTGTCAAGCTCTCCTATTATGTCTAGTATTTGGTTTATTGATTTTCTTGTACGAACCCACACACACACACACACACAAATGCTCTAGACAAGCTCACACCCCCCACGGATTCATAGAGAGAGAGAGAGACAGAGATATAAAGGTGATGTGTGAATGGGTGTTCTTGTCTGAGTCATCCCGGGTTTGTTTTTCAGCTCTCTCACTCAACAGTCCATTAGCTCAGTGTTGGAAGGGCTGGTATTGGATTCTAGCTGACATGTTCCCCCAAGTCTGAGAGCAAGAGATGAGGGCACACGCTGTGCTGAGTGCTCTAATACTGCTCAAACACACACACACACTCACTTACACACACTCACTTTCTCTAGTCTTTTTACTACTTTCTTGAGCGAAAACAAGAAAGCAAGGGTGAAAGTGGAAGAGGAACAAGAAGTGGCTAAAAATAAAACTGACAGAATGTGGAAGAATGTGAAACCAAAATCATGTTTCTGTTTTGCTTGAATTTCTTTGTAAAATAAGATCGACCGTCTGGAAGATATGCCCCCTACTCTGACAAAATGTTTGTTGATACAAAGGTAGCACATAATGGAATGTATTTGCTTGCCGAATAGGTTTTGTTCTTTTGGTATACTGAGCAATGAAAGCCAAATATAGAGGAGAAGGTTGTAACCCCGAATTTGAATTATTACTATTTGGAAATAAATCGTTTACTCCTGTCATCTGAATCTGTCTTTTATTTACTTTACAGAAATGTCACTTTAAAAAAAAGGAATGAAGCACTCAAATTGCTCTGTGTTCTTGTCTTCCTCCAGGGGCAGCCAACCACCACAGTCAGACCACGCTACGGCCTCCACTGCCCCCTCCGCACAACCACCACACCTTATCACACCAGTCTGCAAACAGCCTGAACAGAAACACCCTGAGAGGGGGCCGCAATCCCATCCACGCCCCCGCTCCAGGCCCCGGAGACGGGCCGACCACCCCGGAGTCGGTCCAGCTGCAAGACAGCTGGGTGCTCAACAGTAACGTCCCGCTGGAGACAAGGTCAGAGGAAATGTGTTACAGTTTCTATTTTTCTCTGTTTTTTGCAGTTGTTTACCTGACGCGCTAATACCCAGGCCTACTTACAGTAAAGCACAGCGGCAGAGTAAGCTTTGGCTAATCAATACGAAGGAATGAAAGGTCAGAGCAACGCTGCTTCAACAACATTCTTGTGAGCACAGAGTGATGTTGTCAGGCGGAAACGCTGGAGGAGAAAGAATGAGCTGGAGACAGTGTAGCCTTGGTACACAAAAACATGGAGTTTGTGTGGGAATGTTAAAAATCTCTTCTCAACAAAAGAAAAGGCAATCTACAAAGTCATCTTTGAGTCACTGTAATGCAGCTGTTAATGACAGCGACACAAGAGACACGCGTGTATTCATTTGTTCCATTAGAAATATCCAGGTGATGTTTTTTTGAGTTTAGTTTGCAGGCCTCTTTTGGCTGGAAAGCAAACGGAAATCATGCATGCATGACAGTGAAGCAAGCGTCACCCACAACAGGGATTCCTCAGTTGACATCACCGTGTTGCATTTAGGGTAATTGACATCATTCTGTTTACAGGCAGTGTTCCAACAGCCAAATTATGTAACAAATGAATAAGAGATGAGTAACAGTAGGGACACTTCATGCAAAGCTGAATCATCATGTCTCCGTCCAGTATTATTACCAAAAACTGAACTTTTTATTACTTTCTTTTTTTATTTTGCTCATCTAGACCATTGAGATTTGAATCTCTTGCCACAGGGCGAACTGAACAAGACAGCACAACAGTTTTAGTTTTTCTGCCCACTGCAAATTGAAAAACCCACAGAGGTCAAATGTAATAGTAATTATTCCTAACTTGTAAAAAAGAAATGGATCCCACTCTCTATGACTCAATGAATGAATGGCTTTTCCACAAGTTTGCTTTGGTTTTATACTTTGGCACTGAATAAAGAGAGGTACAACACCTTGCGATGATGACTGTGCACAAGCAGTTTGTAAATTAAAAGAGCTTAACAAGGCCAATCCAAAATGGTTCATGCTCATTGGATTTTTTTACATTTTAGAGAAATGTAAAGATTTTAGTCTGAAGAGTTGTAAAAGTTTACAGTCTCTGTTAAGTTTGTTGAAAGCTTGTTTAGCGCTGATATTAAATTACATTCTGCCTGACCTGATCACAAGTTGAAAGTGTGACGTTGGACTGTTCACACCTGGCATTAAAATGTGTCCCTACATGTGTCTCCAGTGACCACTTGTGATTGGAACTCACTCCCCCCTCTCTAGATGCAAATACATAGCCCACATAATCTTCATCATGAAAACACACAGCAGTCCTGTAGACATGTGAGAGAGCTGGAGCATATAGAGACCAGAAGAGACGACATCAAATAAAAACGTACTCTGATTATAAGGTCTAATGTTACTCAACAGCTGTGTGGTTTATCAGTGAGGAAGCTGCATTACAACGTGGAGTAACAGACTTATGCTATAATGTCTCCTCGAAGAAACATCTGTATCCTCACAGCGCCGATCTAGTACAGGGCACCACATCTCGCCTGTACACAGTTGTTGTCCTGCATTCTTCCCACCATACCTCTAGGCTGTTCAGGTATGATCCTATTTGGAAAGATAAAATGCACTGTCCCTCACAAATCTAGACATATTCATCCTGTTGTTTTGTGTAAATACCAAACAAAGCACAAACTACATTTTCAAATGCTTGAAATGACAACATGTCACATGTCAAAGAGAAGGTATTCAAAAGAGGGAAAAAAAAGAATATGTAGCTTGATGTTATTAAAGACTTTGCTCACCTTCAATTTGACTGAGGTAGCAAGTATGGCACCTTTTGCTTCCAAAACCATTTCAGAATATGGTCCGAGTGATCAGATCAAGATTAGTAATTACAGTAATTAATCTAACCTCAGTTTGTTTACACCTGTACATATAACAAAGAGTTCAGTCTAGACCTGCTCTTTTGTCTTTTATTTCTGTCAACTTGTGACCTAAGCACTCAGGACAACATTAATACAAGGTACTATAAGGGCCTTAGTGCATCAGACTGTAGTCCAGTCTTCTTGTGCAGCCAGGTCATATCCATGTTGTTTATCCCTCTACATATTTCCACACGCCATTGCTTGGCACTGCAACACAGCATGACGGTCTTGGATCGGGAAAAACTAAGAACACATGTATTTCATTAGAACATTTGTACAGAGCAACAGCTTTGTCCTTAAGAAACCTAGATATTTTTTCAGCACATAAATGTAGGGTCTTTGTAATTTATTCATACAAAAGATGAAGGTTACACTGACACGAGTTCATCGTTCAAACTCAAAACTGGAGTATCTTGTACAAAGTGTCACTGTGCGTCTCTGTTCCATCAGTCTGAGCTTTTATATGAGCCACTTGGCCTCTGATTCACAAAATAGTGCTATTCAAGTTCATTCTGTAACTCATTTCAAAGCGCAGTGTACAAAAACCCACCATGTGTCAAAGCTGTTACGCATGCAACTTGAACCAGGGAGCAGGAAATACAAACCATTTCACACAGCCTACACGTGTGCTTTTGCCTGTACACAAAGAACACTTACCAGGCAAACAGAGCATTCATGCAGGGTATTACTATTCATGAGGCATGCGGTGAGAGGGACACTGCCTTCATGCCTGCTAGCATGCACACGCTCTCTGAGCATTTACTCTTCAAGCTGTAGTTGTGTTTCTCCTGCTGGGCGAAGGGCCTTCCAGCTCTGATGGTCCTGTATACGCTCCCCAGAGTGCCGGCCCTTTGCAGTATTTATGAGACCAGGCCATGTTTAATTCAGCCCCACTGATCTCAGGTCTGTGCTCAACCTGTGCTGATGCATCGTGCTGGTTTGTATGATGGGAAAGAAGTAGCGTCATAGTGTTGAACAAGAATACCTTCACCTTTAGATAGAAGCTATTTCCAGTTGTGAATGTTTATCTAGACCTGTGTTGCCATAGTGATGTGTGTGCCATAATACATTTCAGAGAAGCAGACGTTTTTGACTTTCCTCATGTTAAAAATGATGCAGAGATCCAAAGTAAAGTTAGACATCTTTTTTCAAAGAAGATGTTTAAATGTCAACAGATTTGAACAAAGCCACACACACACACACACACACACACACACACACACACATGCTGTTGAGCTCTCTGCAGCGCCAGTATTTGGTCATGTTCAGGTGGTGGGGTTGGGCATGGCTCGGAGCCTGTCGCAGTGAATGCAGCCCAGAGAAGCGAAACAGAGTTTTCCAGCTCCACCCTCCAGTCCAGATTGGGACTCCTCCTCTCTGGGCCTCGTAATGGTGGAGGCTGGGTGGGCTGGCTGGAGCTGCTGGAGCTTGTGACTGGGTCAGAGCCAGCCAGGCCGAGCTAGAGAGTCATACCATCCCTCTGCTGGCAGAGCCTGTCCTCCATCTCATTATAACAGGCAGGGAGGAGATGATGATGAGATGATGCATGTGCACATATGAGGGAGGGAGTGTGCGATTGTATGCATTTCTGGGCATGTTTGCAACCAAGCATGTGCATTTCTCTCTGCTCAAGACTGCTTCCAACTGTAATCATATGTAAATTTTGGCATTTGTTGCTCACTCATTACAGTAAATGTGTGTGTGTGTGTGTGCGCGCATGTGTGTGCATGTGTGTGCATGCGTGTGTGTCTGTTTGCACATACGTGTGTGCGCACTTCGGCTTGACCTGATATTGTGACAGCGCTGAAAGGATGAAGATTGATCACCTAAGAACACCCAAGGGCTTGGATGACTGGCACAGAAGGAGAGAGATAGAAACAGATGAGGGGAGGAGGGTGATAAAGAAGAGAAATATAAGTCGGGGTGAGCAAGAGAGAGAGAGAGGCTGAAATGGAAAGGAATGGTTTACGGTAGAGGAGGGAGAGATAAACAGAGAGAGAGAGGTAGAGAAATAGAGTAAGGAGGTGATTGAAGGAGATTGTTTTGGGGAGTGTGTGTGATAGAAAATAGAAAGCCAGAGTAGGGAGATTGGGGCCCATAGAACATGGATACATTTACCGGTGTGAGATAAATGACTATAGATGGCTGCTGCCATTGTGTGTGTGAGCAAGAGCCTGACAGAAAGAAAAAAAAATGCTCTCCTCCCTGTGCGTATGAGTGCACATGTGTGTACATGTGTTGCAGCATTTTGCAAGAAAACACCTGATTTCCAATCGGTCCCTTGGAGCCTTTTGGCTAGCTGATGCCAGGTTCAATCTCTCTCTGTGATCTCAGGACATACCTCTGCTCCCCCTGCTCGCTCGGCTGTTGGCCACAGCTCTAGGAGAGAAATAAGATCACTGAGAGGGTTGCAGCATCTCAATTTATCTGGTCGGAGCAGCGGAGGGTGGGGTGTGCTTGTGGGTTGGTATAGGTTACTTTCAAATGCATTACTGTTGGGACAGATTCAGAGGTGCTACCTGTGGAAAGCAGCGGGGGCGGAGGGGAAGATAAAGGAGTCGGCTGAAGAAAGCAATTCATTCCCAGTACAGTAACTACTACTGGTATATGAGAACTATACAGTAAAAGGGTTTATCAATGAGATGAATTTATATTTGCACAATATATGGTGAACATGATATCCAATATATTCTGTTAAGCCATTATAACAAACACGTTTCTCTTTGAAATGCCTTGTTTAAGTGTTTAATGACTAAAGAGTAATGGTAAAATGAATATTTAAAATATTAACACATACAAATGGTACATGAAGAATACCATCAAGGGTACAGATATTGTTAGAAAAAGGCTTGGTTGAGTTTAGAAATGGCACCAACCACTAGGTTCAATAAGAAGGACATCACATCCTTTGACGTCCAGTAGTAGATGACGTTGCCTTTCTTGGCTCTTAAAGAATTCTCCACCATGACATGTTTGAGTTGAAGGCTTGTATTATAATATCTTCTTCCAAAAACTTAGCAGGGATGTGGCAGCACAGTGGTGCAGTGGTTATCACTGTGGCCTCAGAACAAGAAGGTTTGA